TTGCAATAATAGCAAAACTTGGTTGATAGGAATGGAAGTGCGTGGAAAATACAAGGGAAATTCGACGTTTCGAGCGAAGTTCCTTCGTCTGGGAGTTATTAGGCAAACTTCTCGACGAAGAACTAACTTCCCGACGAAAGAACTTCGCTCGAAACGTCGAATTTCTCCCTGTATTTTTCAACTACATCACTATCAGCCATTTTGTTATATAAGAGTTACCATCTAGCGCAAACATGGCTTCCACAATAGGGAAATACCGCCATTTGCAATTGAGCGTGCACCGTGCATTTTTTTCAAGTTGTTTAGCATTGAAATTGACATGTAACTATGGGCGGAGCGACGTGTTACTAAAGGCCGTTTTCCACTAGGCGAATTTTTTCGCGCGACGCGAAGCGAAAACCGAAATCCGGCAACGTGATTGGTCGGCGAAAAAATTCGCGGCGAAAAAGTAGGATCGCTTCCTACTTTTTATCTGTTCGCGCGAATAAATTCGCCTAGTGGAAAACGGCCTTTAGATTTGACTACGAGTACGACTACGAGTACGAGATTCGTCAAGCTAAACGCATGCTGTATGCTTACGCCATTCCGTACTGACGCTAAAAAGTCGTAGCCGTCGCCCATCTGAGTACGAAATTGTGGAGAAACCTCGTAGTCCTCACGACGACTTTTCAAAAAAAACAAAGAAAGTTGGCTTTTTTTTGTTTTCCAAAAATAATTTGTAGCATTTATATAGCGTTTATCCGGCGCAAATAATATATTAGTACTAAATATCTGGCCTGTTTTTAATGTTATGACTTATTTACACGTTTTGTAGGGGATTTTAGTCGGCAGGAGATTTAGTTTATGAAACTTTTTCTCTAGTTGTTGGTTTACTGTTATAAAAGCAACATTTGAATGGAAACGAAAACGACTACGGTAATTTCCTCGCACGCGATCAAATCTCGTACTCGTAGTCGTACTCGTAGTCAAATCTAAAGCTCCCTAGTGCGGGAGAGGCACGGCGGCAACACGTTGCCCTTTTTCACCAGAACTGCGCTTCGAAATTTGTGCGTTATTCACATGAATTGAAATATATAACTATTTTTAAGCAATGTTTAACTAGCAATCCTTGCTTAATTTTAACCAGTTATAGTAAAATTAATGCCAGAGGCTGCGGAATCACTTTTGTATAATTATGATCAAAATCAAACGATTTTAAGTCCTTCACGAGCGGAACGAAAATTTTTGAAAATATGGAGTCCCTAATCCCTATGACGTCGGAAATGGCCTTTACAGAGTCTTTACTACTGCAAAAAGGGCACTTTCTTTCTAGCCCCCCAAAAGAGCATTTTTTCACTTTTAAAAAAGTGGGAAGGCACATGCCCCCATTGCCCCCGGTTCTGCGGCCCATGATTAATGCTAAATCAGGCAATATACGTCCGTTTACTGATTTTATTTTTCGCCCTTAACATGGTGCAACAAATAAAATTGTTCAAAATTACTGTCGAAGTTTGCGACCCACAATAGCCACAAGTAATCGGGTATCCATACAATAAAGTTTTAACAAATATTGCCGCCCAGAAAAATAATGGCTCAGAAGCAAGTGCCCTTTTGAAATGGCTGCTCCCGCCGCTTCACATTGCTTCCGGCGCCCCCTGGATCTCGCACATCAATAATCTTTGTTTTTGTAAAGTGGAAACACCACATGAAATCTTTCTGGGCGCCATATTTTGATACTCGTGCAAACTCGTGTTGTTTGCAAATTGTGTGTCTGAATATTCTCATTTTTCTGATTAGAAATTTTGTAAGAACCGACGTATTATAAAGATTCAATAAAGAAAGCTAGACTCGAGAGAACGGTTGGGTGATATTTTTAATCGAAATTTGACTGCACGTGTGACCAGCCTCATACCCAGGCGCAAATAACGTACTAAAAATAGCAACACTACAGTGTTTTTATATAGATCAGTGGCTAAGATGAGCGAGCGCGCGGGGGTGCTTGGGGAGGACACGACGAGGTTCTGCAGCTTCGTTTCCCGCGTCTTCCCCCAGCACCCCCCCCCCGTGCTTGCTCATCTTAGCCACTGATCTATATAAAAACACTGTAGTGTTGCTATTTTTAGTACGTTATTTGCGCCTGGATACGAGGCTGCCCGCAAACGCCATCTGGAAACGAAATTAATGAGTGTTCATCAATGGACAATGATCGGTGCTCGACCGTCGACGGTTTCGAAATTTGCGGCGGCGGCGTGGATTGAGTGAGTCCTGACAGCTTGTCAGTCTATAAATTTGGAAATATTTCTTCAGAGATCTTATCGCGATAGGAGTGCTCTCTCCTCCGCAGGTTATTTATTCTATTTATAATGTTCTTCGGCTCTCTTCGGATAGTTCTCGGAGTTAATCGCGATAGGGCGCTGGACAAAACCACAGAATAGATACTGGACCAGAAGTGTCACTCAGACGATATTTTGTCCGAAATTTTACGAGTGATGACGTGAAAATACGCCATCATATGACGCCATCCTGGAGTGCACACGGGA